AGGCCAGTCAGCCTCCTGCAGCAAATCCCAGCCACCTGGGATGAGCTTGCACCTGCCAGGCCATGCCTTCCTCTGTGCCTTTGCTCAGGCTGGGGCATCTGCCATGTGTACCCTCACGGCCAGTCCTGTGGGACACTGGGTGCCCACCGGGAATCCAGTCCTCGCACGGCACAGTCATACCCTGGGCTTTAGAGTCCAGCAGGCCTCCAGCCCACACACATGTGCCTTCTCTGTGGGGCTAAGGGTCTGGTACCTGCTGTCCTCCTCAAGAGCCCCACCCAAGCCCTTTTCACCTCTCCCCCACCTCTTCATGCACAGTATGGCACATGGTAGGCATTCAGTGAAGTCGGAACCAAAGATGCGGTCCAGCCCTCAGAGACCTGGTCCCCACCTAGCGGGAGAGATGGACACAAACAGGTCAGTGACACGGCTACACATCCAAGGATGGAGTCAAGGCAAGACACCCACAGAGCAGGGAGCCCCCGTCCCATCTCCAACACAAACTGAACCCCTACTACACTCCTGAAAACTTGCTGTCTCCTTTCAGTCCTCCCAGGGCAAGGCAGCGGTGTTACAGGTGAAAAAAGAGGCTCGGACAGCCAGGTACTGACAGGTCACACGGCTGCCAAAGGCGCCTTGGACATCCCAACTCAAAGCCCCATGTCCTTCTCCACGGTGGAAAACTCAGGTACCCGGGGGCCACACAGGTAACAGGAGGAGCAAAGCCGCTGCAGCCAGATTTAGGACACATCAGCTCAGGGCTTCCAGAACGGCCAGGTTCGGGTTTTTCCCCAAGAGAAAGCAGACAATAAGAATTGTAGGTAGAATTCTAGTTTTATTTTTCCTTTGGACATTGGCAAACACATCACAAGTTTTTAAAATGCAGTGAACCGGGCAAAGAAAAAAGGTGTGGGCAGATTTGTGCCCTTCAGTGAGCCTGTATTGTCTGGGTGAGGGGCATGCTGGGAGTCTCAGGACAGCTTGCCTTCCCCATCCCCGGTCAGCAAGAGCCCTCGGAACCCAGTGGCATCGCCCCAAGCCCCTCAAAACACCCCCAGCTGCCGCCTTCACCACCAGAGGCAGGAGGCAGGGCCCAGGCCCCACGAGGGCACCACCCAAATAGCTATAATCAGCAGCCTCGCCAAGACTTCAAACTCACCCAATTATCCTGCGAGGGGAAAAAAAACACAAAATGAAAACAAATTAACATGTTTGCATAGAAGCCGCTGCAGCAACACACACAGACGCGCGCACGCATGCACATGCTGGCGCATGCCCCGGCAAGGCTGGAAGACACCGCCACCCCCGTTCCCTGGGCCTGGCACCCACCCGGACCAAAATGCCGGAGCAGGCCCAGCAGCTGGCTTGTCCCCAGACCTGACTGGGGTGGGGCTGCCTGCGAGGTACTACCTCTGGCACCTGCCCACAAAGCGGGGTTCCTGCACCCCACACCATTCATTTAGTGCCACAAGACTCGCCTCATCAGACTCACTGAGCCCCTATTAGTGCCTTTGGGCTCTGTGCCAGGCGCTGCCTTTGCCCTTGCCCTTGGGTCACTCAGACAAGCTCAGATACTCCCTTTTCTGGGAAGTGGCCTGTCCTTAGAAGGACCCCTCTTCTCTAGGCCTCTGAAGCTCCCTCTGACCCGGGATTGGGGTTGCATGGGTGTGCATCTGGTCATCTTTGCCGTATTTGGTTCTTCTCTGGGTTCCTACAGGTGCTCAGGCAGGGTTTGGCGACTGCACCCATTGGAGCATCCCCTCCCACTTGTAAGGCGCATTTGGGGCCTTGTCCCTGGCATTAAAGGATAAACTCCTGGAAGGAATTGGGGCTTAGGTCCTGGGGTTCAGGGATCCCCAGCTCCTCCTGCTGCTGTGTCAGCACAGGCAGTCCCTTCACCCCTCTGTGCCCGGCGCTGTCATCTCCTGGGGTGAAAGCTGGGCGGGCAGTGCATGAGTGCTACGCTGCACATGTTCATCGCCCGGTTCATCCTCACTACGGCTGGTGAGGGTGGTGTGGTTTCTACTTCTGTGTTTCATATGGAGAAACTGAGTCCCCAAGGGACTCATGGCTTACTCAAGACAGCCCTGCTAGTGAATAGCAGAGACAGGGTTTAAACTGAGTTCTGGATTTTGTCTTAGCTGAAGTGCTGTTTCACACTTCCTAGGCGCTGCCTGTCAGGAGCCAGAGGGACAGTGCCTCATGGGTCTGGGGAGTGAGGGCTACTAAGATGCCGTGGTGGTGGTGGGATGGGTGACCCAGCTGGCGGCAGGATCACCCCTTTGGGATGCTAGGGAGGTAACCCAGCGCCTACCCTCGGAGCAGCCAGTCCTGTGGGACACTGGGTGCCCACTGGGAGTCCAGTCCTCGCATGGCACAGCCATGCCCTGGGCTTTAAAGTCCAGCAGGCCTAGTTCCCATCCAGACCCCACCAGGTGCAAATCCTGTTCCTCTCGGAGCCTCTACCCTGCTGGAGAATGGGAGGCGTGGATGTATTCACACTCAAGGGATGGTCTTCCAGCTCCATGTAAGGTGAGGCATGGCACCCAGCACACAATTGCTGCTCCATGAAGCCACCTCCTGCCCAGACCTCCAGCAGGAGAGGCCCTTTCCCTTATCCAGAAGCTTTCTAGCCCTGGAGCCTCCATGACACAGCCTCGGGGTGGGGGTTGGTGGGTGACACTGGGCCTGGAAGAGGCTCTTGCCCCCTCGCTGCTAGCTCTGCCCCTCTGCCCGCCCTTATTGAGGGTCTCTGGGGCCTACGTGTTCTGGGTGTGTGGAGGGGTTTGTCAGGTTGAGGTGGCAAACTACAGTGAAAAGACTGGGGAGAGACCCTGAACTGTGAAGCCTGGACCATAGAGAAAGTATGAAAATACAAGTCCCACCCCAGCACTCTGTCTGTTCAGATGGGATTTACTGAGCATCTACTGTGTGTCTGGCCTTGGAATAGAAAGAGACCAGAGAGGGGTCTGTGAGGCTTGAGGCCCAGCCCTCTCACTGCTGTGCACTTTGGGCAGCCACACGGTCTCCGGCACAAGTGTTCTCAGGCAGGGCTGTGGTCACATCACAGTATGAGGACGTTAGTTCCTCAGTGGTTGAGCATGTAGGTCTGCAGTGCCCCTCCCCAAACCCTGAGGGGGTAGGGCAAGGGCCACTTCCAGTGGTCATCGTGAAGCTGTCTATGACCCCCTCACTCCCAGGCTTCTGAGGCTCTGAATGCCGAGGCTGGGGGCTGGGTGGGAGGAGGTTCTTTCCCCCTCATTAAAAAAGTCATGTTCATCTCTTAGTATTCAGAAATAAGTCTGACGAAGAAAAGAAAATTCAGCCGACATCTAACTGCCCAGAACTAACACTTGGTCTCATGTGGGGACGTTTTGCCCAGGTGCTTGGCATTCAGGGAGTGTCTGATTCCGCCTTGCATAAATGACCCCCCTTGGTGGAGTAGTGCTCAGTGAGTGGATGCATGGGCCCCGTCAAGCCCAGCGCCCAGTCCCAGGAAGGGCCACTCCGTGCTAAGCCTGTCCTGGGCTCCTGGGTACCACCTGCCCTCCCGCCTGCCCAGCAGCCCATTGTCTGGCATGTGGGGGCGCGGAGCAGCCGTTGTTCTGCACACATCTGATCCCGTCTTTTCCACATCAGATCATTTGTAACCGTCACCAGGCAATAGGGCCCATCGCTGATTCAATCTCAGCTTTGTGCTGTCACAGCCGTTTTTCTGCGCCAGGCTGATTTTGAAAGGAGGCCCATCCTCTGGGCCCACTTTTCAGAAGAGGGGAGGTGGGTGGAGGGAGGTGTGTGTGTGTGTGTGTGTGTGTACGTATACACAGGACAGGTTCCCCCACACATGTATGCGCACACACACACACACACACACACACACACACACACACATTCCACTGCTGCAGCTAATCACCGAGAGTAGAATTTGGAATGAGGTAGATGGACAAGGGCCCCAGGCCAGGCCCGTCATCCCCACCTCCGTCCCACCTGCCACCCTGAGTGCCTACTGTGTGCCCCAGCATGCAGACACAGTAGAACTTGCACTCTGGTGGAAGAGACAGACACTAAACTGTTCCTCAAGATAATTTCAGAGCAATAATGACAGTGAAAGAATTGCTGTGGTGACAGGACAGTGGCCAGGGCAGAAGGTTGCCAGCTTGACCAGGTGGTCAAGGGGGGTCTCTCGGAGGAGGGGATGTTTGAGCTGAGGTGTGAATGAGGAAATGGAGCTGACATGGAGAGCGGGGGAGGGGCGTGAACTGGGACGGCGTGGCATTGCACTATCCACAGGTGGCAGTGAGCATTTGCAGTGGGGCAAGTCTGAACTGAACTGAGATGTCCTCATGGCGTAAAATCCATCCCAGGTTTCAAAGACTTAGAATAAAAACAAGAACATAAAATATCTCATTAGGAATTTTTTAATATTGATTACATATTGAAATGATACTATTTTGGATCTATTAGGGGAAATATATTAAATTTAATTTCCTCTGTTACTGCTAGAAAATTTCCAATTGCAAATGAGGCTGCTATTATTACATATTTCTATGGACAGCATCGGTGTAAGGTATTTAGGTAGCGGCAAAACCCTAAGTGCAAAAGCCCTGGGGTGGGACCTTGGTTAGCCTGTGAGAGGACCAGAGAGACAGCCAGTGTGTCTGAGCAGGGTTAGCACAGGACAGGGACAGTGCAGATAGACAGTGGGAAAGGGATTCACGCAGGTTCTTCAAGGATACTGTTTGAAATGCCACGGAAGGCTGGCGGGATGGCTCATACCTATAATTCCAGCACTTAGGGAGACCGAGGTGAGAAGATTGCTTGAGGCCAGGAGTTCGAGACCAGCCTAGGCAACATAGTGAGATCCCATGTTTACAAAAAATAATAATTGGCTGGGCGTGGTGGTGCACGACTGTAGTCCCAGCTACTTGAGAGGCTGAGGCAGGAGGATCACTTGAGCCCAGAGGTGAGCTGCAGTGAGCCATGATCAAACCACTGCACCCCACCCTGGGCAACACAGCAAGGCCCCATCTCTTTAAAAAAAAAAAAAAGAAAAAAGAAAAGACAATGCCGTGGAAGCCACTAGGTGAGTTCTGAGCAGGGAGAGGAGTGAGCTACACACAGAAAGGCTTGGTCCACCTCCCGTGAGGTGGAGATTGATGGCAGGGAGGCAATGGGGCACAGGGACAGGTGGGAATCCGTTGAAGAGTCACTGCCGGGACCTGCTAGTGAATTGACTCCACCAGATCTGGCTCTGCACAAAGCTCACTGCTTCTTGTGGCTCCTGGATTTCCAGGCCTCTGGGGCATCCTGTCTCTCCCTGCACCATCTCCACCTCCCCAGCAGCTGTTCCCGGTCATGTCAGTGCATTTACAAAGAGCTCCAGTCGCCTGTCTCCTGGTGGTCAGAGGTTGAAATCCCTTTTGAAAAGTTCTTAAAAACAGAAGTGATGCATGTTCATTGTGGAAAAATTAGAAATACAGAGAAGCACAAAGAAGAAAAAAAAAATTCGCCAGAGTTAACCATCAGCTGCTAGGCTGTGATGGGGGAGGGGGTTGAACCCAGGTGATCTGGCTTCAGCACTTTCTAAATCATGGTGCCTGTGGCTGGGTGACCTGGAGGGAGCTCCCTGACCATAGAAGGGGTTAGAGACATGGCGCCCCTCTACCCTCACTCTCAGCAGAGGTGGAAGCTGGAGACTGGTCCACACATGGATGGTGAGTGGCATTTGACTCTTGGAGGTTTAAATAAAACAAACACTGAGAGAGCTCACGCACTCTGGGATGTGGAGTGATGGCTTTGTCATTTGGGCCGACTGTCCTGTCATGTTTCCTAACCCCTGCCTTGAAGTCTCCACTCATTTCTGCCCCATCCTGACCCCCAGAAGCATCTGTTGATCTTAGCATGGGGCTAAAAGCTAGCTAAATGCCAGCCCTGGCCAGCCACTTTTGTCGGCTCTCCTTCCCTGACCTGGGTCACTCCATCTTTTAAACAATCTTGGGCCATTCTTGCACAGGGACCTGGTCTTCTTCCTTCCCACCCCTTGGGGCCTGAATTCTCAAACCCTGTCTGGCCCAGGCCTACCTTTTTGTGGGGCTTTCCTGTCTGCTCCACCAACCAACCAGCCCCGAGGTCCTGGACGGCGTCTTTTCTTCTCTGTTTCCTCGTGGGTACGATGGCAGTCGTTCTTTCTCCCGATTGTGGCATGGGTTACGTGAGGTGACGTCTGTAAAGTGCTGAGCCCATGGAGGACACTAAAAATAAAAACTAGCTCCTATTATTTATTGCTCTATTAGATTTTCCTCCTTCCCTTTTGCCTCTTTTAACCCTGAATTGTGGGCGCAGGGACTGGGGAATAGGTGGGAAGAAGGCTGGAGATTCTGGGCCCTCCCCCATCTCCACTGTGGGTCTGACCTTTGCCTGTTGCACACAGTGTTCCATCTTCCGGGATCCCAGTGTCATCTGGTGGCATCCCTCCTTCCCTCTCTTGGTCTCCATTTCCATGTTGTTTCTCCAGATTCTGTGACTACCTCTAAAAAAAACTGGGCCGGGGGATTTCGGCTGAGCTCCCAGCCCCATTATGGCATTGCAGTACTGAAGCTGTTCAGTATCAATTCTCAGATCTCCCCACTCCCTCTTTACTGGAAGGTGACGATGGAGACTTGACTGACAATTTTCATTACAGAGCCGAGGTTGGAACTAGGAGAATAGAGGCTTAGCCTGCCCCTGACTCCAAACTTCGTATCTTAGGATCTCTGGCTCTCAGGGAAGAGTGAAACTCTCCCTCAGAGGTTCGTGGCTCTGGAAGAGGGCCAGCCAGGCCTGTTGCCAGTGGCAGTGACTACCCCTCCTCCCAGCACCTTCTCTGAGTCCCTGCCCTGAAGCAGCACTAGTGCACAGGAAACAGATCTCCCCACCGGGAGGTTCAGGGGCTCCCTGCCTGGCCCTGCATAGATGGGGTGCTCTCAATTACTCACCAGGAGGGTTTGCCCTCCAGCAGCCTGGAGCTCCTTCATGCTCTGTTTGCTCCTCTCTTTCAAGTCTCCATGTGGTTGCCTGTGCAGTCCCTTCTGTGGGATCCTCCCCTTCCTCTGGCTTTTTCCTACTTACCTGTTGATGACGGCCATGAACAAAGCTAACAACAGGTACCACTTAGGCAGCTACCACAAGGACCCTGGCACTTTGTTGTAAGGAAGGAACCCCTCTTGCAGGCACAAAAACTGAGGCTCAGAGAGGAGGATGGATTTGCCCAAGCCCACAGGGTTAAGGTATAAAGCTCAGACATCCTGATGTGAAGTCGGGGAGAGATGCTGTCACTCTGCTTATGAGGCAGCTGGTGTGCCTTTCCATCTTGACACCCCCAGGCCAGGTAGGGTGACCCCATCATGGCTACCGCTTGTCTCCCTGTCTTGTAATCACCCCTCTGATGCCTCCCATCCTCTCAGGGTCTGTCACTGCCCCAGCATCTAGCACAGGGCCTGGCCTAGCACACAGTTGGTGCTTAATCTGCCATGCTGTCCCCAGTGGTCAGAGTGCTGACAGAGGCACATTGCAGTTGTCAGTTCCCATGGCGACTGACATCACTGAGCTCTCAGGCTGTGTCCCGCCCCTTTCTCCGGGGCTCCTGCGCTGGGAGCTGGCCGTGGTGCTGACAGGCCCGGGCATGGCCGCCCACCCCCAGACCCCAGCCCTGTGTCCCAGTAGGACACTTTCTTAGGCCTGCTCTGCCTCGACTTCCAGGATAGCCTCTTGCCCATCCTTTGTTCAGAAGACGTTTTTCTGAGGGCCCCTGTGCTCGGGTACTGCTATAGCACCGTGAACCCATGGAGGAAGGATCAAGGAGAGCCACATGGGATTCCAGTCATTCAATGATTCATCAAACATTTATCATGCACCTTGCATGTCTTGGAGAAACCCTCAGGAACCCAGACTCCAATTGAAGGTCGAGTAGTAAGTGGTAGAGAGCTTTGGGGATCGCATGGGCAAAGGCCTGTAAGCGTGCAGGTGAGAGGCTTGTGCATAGGGAAGCCCAGCTCAGGACTCTGGCTGCCACCCAGAATTGGTGATTGCATTTTACTTTTTGGTCTCCCCTTTGGCTCAGAAAGACCGGCACTTCTGGCTCCAGTGCCCAGCCCAGAACCAGGCACAGTGGAGGGGCGTTGGAGCCAGGCAGGGGACTGGCATATTTGTGTTGAGAACCAAAGAGCCAGGTATGCTCTGTGACCAGGTTTGCAGCATTTTAGAGAGCCCCCTGGCCTGCTGGGGCTGGGGGCAGATATAGTGATAATCCTGGCAGGAGATGAGGCCTTCTATTCAAGAGGACAGTACCTCCCCAACCCCCAATCTTAAAAAATAAAAGTAAAAATCCCCTTCTGGTGCTTCGGCCCAAATGGCAGTGGGAAATAATCACTTTTCACAGGCCCCTTATCCACAGCCAAGCCCTGTGCCAGTTTAATCAGCAGTGCCGGTGTGACTTAAAGAATCCCCGGCTTGAGAGATCAGGAGAGGGGTTAAAGAAAATTACCCTTGCCTCCTCCATGCTAATGTAATCTCTAACCAGATCTGCCTAGCCGCAGCTCAAATTGCTTTTTAGATTAACATTTAATTATTAACAGGGTCCCTTGGAAGGCCTCCGGCTCAGAGCAGGGATGGGGGAGGGAGTGGCAGGAGGGAGGTGGGGGTGGGCTTCCACTCTGGCTGCCTTGCTGAGACAAGTGGGGTGGGAGAGAGAAGGAGGAGTAGGGGAGAGGGGTCAGGAAGGGAGAGAGAAAGAGAGACAGCAGGAAGGAGGAGAAGGGGAGCATCAGGACAGGGAGGCAGATGGAGTTAGGGATGAGATGGGAGAGGAAAGAGACAGGCAGTGGATCTTCTCTGGTGGGAGCTCCAAAGGGAGTTGGAGGAAGCCTGCACCTAGATTCCCGAGGACATTCCTGGGCTGGGCAAGGGTCCCACCACTCTTCCATCCTGACCAGAAGCAGGTTTGCTGCCCCTTGCTATATAGAGTGGACTGGACTTTCTGAGACTTTCTACTCTATTGGCTCAGCTCGTGGTACTGGGACCAACACAGAGAAGTGACCCGTTGAGGGCCACCCCACCAGGGTCTGACCCCAGTATTCCCAATCCAGCACTTATTCTCTTTCCTGGGCCCTGGGCCTCCCACCACCACTTCAGGCTCCTGTCTGCCTTTGGGGCAGGCTGTGTGGCCAGGCAGTGTGCAGAGACTTCAATTCCAGCCGAGGGATGGAGGTAAGAACTGTGGGAGGGCTCCCTCACCACCTGCCTATACTGCCACCACTCCCAGGAAGGCTGCAAGGCCCTGCAGAGTGGCCGGCATCTCCTTCACTTCCTAAAAGGGAATTCAGAGTCTGAACCATCCAATCCTTATGTGCACTGCTGGGTTTTGCCAGCCTCCTATCTTGTCTGTGCTCAGGATTCTAAGTCCCTCAAAGACAAGGGCTACATCTAGAGCCCCTTTGTGTGCCCACAGGCCAGAGGCCACCCAACACCTTGCACGCAGCTGGGTTAAATTTGAAAACCAAATGGTCACATCTTCTTATGTCCAAGCTAGATGGCCCTCATACTATCAGCTGGTCCACTCCCTATAAAGGTTCATTTGGGAAACAGACTCAGAGAAGTGCTGTGAGTTCCTCCAGGTCACCAGCCAGTAAGAACCCCAGTGCCTGGCCCCTGCCTGGCAGGCACAACCCAGAGGCATCTGGGGCCAGCTCTCTTCTCTGAACCAGTCCTGTTGGATACCAGGAACAGCCTGGCATGACCTTCCCTTCCAGGTCACAGCTAGGATTTGGCCTTGAATAGAGCCACAGAAGCCAGGTTGGTAGCTCTAGGAGTTAAGAGGTGGAGGAGAAGATGGGGGCTCAAAGGTGTGCAGCCTGTGGCTTTCCTGTGGTCACAGCCTCAGGGCCCTGCGGTGAAGCCAGGTATATCCTCCCATTCTGCCCTGGGGTCAGCCCAGCCTGGCAAGGGGCAGACTGCTGACCTGCGGACACATGAGGGAACGTGCAAGCTACCTGCTGCATCAGGAAAACGCTGGAGGCAGAGAGAAGTCAGGAACATCCATTTTTAGTGGGAGGTCAGTTCGGGCTGGATGTTCCCTCCTGGCAGGATGCTTTGAGCAGTTTCCATCCTCCCAGCACAGGGCTGGCCCCCAAAGGATGCTTGGGAAGTGTTTGCTGCGTAAGAAGCAAGGCCTGGGCTTTACTCATCTCAGTGTCCTTCTGTCCAATGCCAGCCTCAAGAGTTGCCCTCCTTGAATGTTTATGGGATGAGTAAGTGGCCTCTAGGAGCCCTTCCCCCCTACCCCTTCCCCTCCTCTCACCCCTTCTTTCTGTGATCCCAGCCCCTCCCACAGTAGAATCAAAGTGGATTTGGGCCCTGGGCAGAAGTGGCCCTTGCTTCCATCCCTCCCTGGCCAGCTGACTGGGAGCTGGGAGCTGACACACCCCCAACCATGATGGAGCTGCTGTACAGTGTGGGGCTGAGGGTGTGATTGGGGTTGGCATCCTTGGGCTCTGCTATCTAAAAGCTGTGTGACCTTGCACAGATTGCTTCCCCTCTCTGTGGCCATTTCCTAAGCTGTGAAATGGGGCCACAGAGGCCATGAGGAGGAGGCAGATGGGCTTGGCACAGAGGGCAGTCAATACATGCTGACCACGGTCAAGAGCCCAAATTGCAGGTTGCTGTTTCGCAGCGTCCCCTCCCACTGGGCTGTGGGCTCCCTGACGCCCCCTGCAGCCAGACAGGCGAGGACAAGATGACAAAAGGCAGGCAGGGCCCAAGAACCCAGTTCCCTGCTCTTTTAATAAAAATAGACAGCCTTTAGACAGCCTTCTCCCATTCATTGTTCTGCTGAGGCAAGCATCATAGACTCAATTCCTCCTCGGACCTGGAAAGTTCCTTCCTTCGTTTCCCCTCCCCTGTCACATTTCCTTTATCTAAATCCTCAGCTATGAAAGGACACATCGACAGCTGGGGGCGTTATCTGGTGGAGGGGACCTTTTCCTCGGGTGTCTCTGAGATAAGGCGTCTTATCAGCCCCCATGTCAGGGAAGGTGCCAAGCATTCTAATCATTGAGGCATGCAGCATTTTCCCCTCCCTGCCCCCCCTTTTTATTATTAAAGTCACAAAAGACCTTGAGCTTATAAACAGTCTGATTTGCAGATAGGGTTTCAGAATGAGCAGTGCTCCCTGGATGGAGCTTGGCCAGGTGATGATGAGTCCAGGTGGGGGTTCTGAGAGGCTAGCCTCCTCCGATGGGATGACACCAGGCAGGGAGGGGGTAAGGTGGGGTCACAGAAGGAACATGAGTGTTTTAGGCGCATGCCCCAATCCTGTCTCTGCCTTGCTGTGTGGCCTTGTACGGGACACTTGGCTTCTCTGGGCCTAGGCCACTTTATATGACAATAACCAATTCATTGATTCGGTCATTCATTCAATACCTATTTATTAAGTGATTACTCTTGCCAGCCACTGGGGAGAGACAGACAAATAAGACACAGTGCCTACCCCTAAGA